TCGAATTGGGAGACGACGCGACTAGCTTCTGGGTGAATCGCCATCGTGTTTAGGTGTCGCGAGTGGTGAGGTACTTTCGGGAACAGAAGCTGGGCCGAAGCAGGATTACGACATGCAGGCTCTGTCTGGGAGACGGAGAGCTGATCGGGGATGAGTGAGGAGGAGGGGAAGGGAGATGACGACGATATATGGCCAGGGAATCGAAGCTGGAAGAGACGCTGCTTGGCGTGGTAAAGGACGAGCTGGGCTAACTTTGATACAAGGTTGTGTCAGCAGCTTTGGCATCGTTTACAAATGTGGGCGCATTGGGGCGTATTTTCTGGGTGGTAGGGACGGTCTACCGCGAACCATCTGCCAGAGTAAAACCCATTGCGGGGGATGTGGCCAAGCGCCAAGGGCAAAACCTGGGAGGTATCGAGGCAGACCCCCAATTCCACCGAGGCTTAATTGTATGGGGGGGCGCCGGGTAGGAATGGTGGTTGAGGCAGAACAAAGTTAGACTTACTGAGATGCTGGCCAAGAGCAGGATGAATGAAAACAGACTTTTGAGCCCAGAGGTTCTGTTCCAGGGCCACCGGGGAGGCTTCTCATCCTTATGAGCCTCGCTCACGGTCCCCTGGCGCTGAAGCCACCGCAGCTTTCGGCTGCACCGTCGCTTGGGAGGCGACGGGGAACCAATGCATGCGGTGCAATCAAAGGCGGACCGGGTTCTCTGCCTGGCAGGAGGCTTCGGGATCACACCGTGGGCTATAGAAGCTGCTGCCCTATTATCCCTGCTCTCCAAACGGGCCGTCTGGTGCTATCAATTGCAAGCTGGCGATGACGCACAGTGCCTGCTGTAGGGGCGGGGTTCCGGTGGTGTGGTGGTGGTGATGGTGTTTGATAATAGGTAGGCCAGGGTTGGTTCGCAACAGATTGAAGAGACAGAATTACACGTGAGAGCAGACTGCAGGCACTTTTAGGCTAGCAGGAACCCAGCATTTGCGCACGCTGACGACTTTGTGAGCAATTGACGACTAGGTGCGAGGCTCTTGCATCCTTTGGCAGGTTGCGCTGTATTATCGCATCCCCACACCTGCACGTTGGTTTGGGGGCGCTTTGGGTTGGACTCGGCCTCACTATGTGGCCGGAGTCTGGTGTGATGCCCCTGACGGCCGGCCCCATGGCCCACCCTTCCGCTGGGGAGATCGCTGTTTCCTCCTGTCCGACCTGCACTCTAATACAACAGCGCCAGCCAGATTGTCGGAATTGAACTTCTAGAAGGACACCACTATCTTCTCCTAGGGCTGGACGGCTGCTTGGGAGCTAGAATGCAGAACACATGCAGCTAGTCCCCGAACCCCCAATTGTCGATAATGTGGTGGCTCGAATCCTTGTACCCAGAGCGCATAAGTTAGGGGAGGTTGGTAAAAGGCCCTACAGGGAGCTAGCTGGCACCGTGAATCGACCATGCTATTGACCACATGCTTCCATTGATTTGGCGACAGCCTCCTATACGCTCTTACAGAAGGCCTCAGGGATAGACGGATATTAGCTACTAATTCCATGCTAGGCCAGCCGCAAGGCTCGTCATTGAATATCAAGCCACTCTCAGAACATGCTACATCGGATGAGGTTACAATTACATATTGGCAGTCAAAGCACTTGAATCTCTTATCGTATGATCAACAGGGACCGGCCTAGAGACCTCAATAGCGTTAGCCATAACTCATATGCATTCAATCTGGAGACTTTCGTGCCCTCATAACATCACAGCTTATAAGAGGCGTCCCAAGCTTTTGACCTTCGGTTTCTTGCCATGTTAGGTCTGACTTGGAGCGGTGACGGCCCAATGTCTCAGCAACGTGTCTCATGTCTATAAGTTTTACACCAAGTTCGAATGAGATAAACGTCCCGCTAATATGGCAGCTTGAGAACATGGGTAATAACTGAGACGCATCAGCTGACCGTCTTTCCTGGCACAATCCACTCTCTCTGTCCGACTCTTGAGGAATCTTGTTGATGTGCGCCCTACGGTATGATCTGCTGGCCCATCAGGTCGAAGCGTAATGAGCGATGCATTTCCTGGAAGGACCTTGCAGATATGCAGCGCCGCAATTTGGCCCCATAGGTTGGTATTTTGAACCGCCTCTAAAGGCCGTTTATCTAACCAGGTCGATCAGCGTGAAATATTTCAAGTCGCAACCCTTACATCTCACTAGCGATCGAGGATTGATTTAGGTCATCGATACGCCCGATAGACTCGGGTGTAAGGATTGAGGTGGCAACACAATGAAGGATTGAAACACATGTTCAAGGTATCGTCTTTCTGTATGGCCTTGACCGCCCTCGTACGTAGCAATTTTCTCTGTCCCGCTTTGCTGCGCCCAATCATGAACATTCCAGCAGATATATCAATATGTATTGTCGGGGGATGGGCTGAAATAACAATTGGGCCGCCGTGCGCAAAGTACGCAATTGAACTACTATGTAAAAAGCATGCAGCCCTAGTTGGTCTGCACCAGTGCCTCGACCTTCCCCAGGTTTCCACTGCCCCGACAGTGGAGGAGACTGGAGACTGTAACAATTGGATCATATGCAATCGTCATTCGAGAGCACAAAATGATGGATGGGCAACTTGGTGATCTCTCAGGTTTCATCTCAGCCGCACTCACCCATAGGAGCTGCAAGACCGGTGCACATTGTGCGGAGGCAGCAATATCGAGGCAAACATCGCCAAGATTAGATGCAGTGTCCTGGTCTGGTGGTTTCCTCTCTAACCACACAAGTTATTGTGGCAACGAGAACGCATGCCCAGGTTCTTCACATGCCTGCGGATTCCATTGGCAAGGACTGTAGCTGCAGAAGGGCGACGATCAGTTACCTATTAGTTAACCACTTCTTCATGTATACTATAGAACAAGGTCCCAGCTTTCGTGTTGCTGCAATGTGATATCCTTTGTTGGCGACTGGAACAAGTTGGGACGGTACTTAGGATGGAGGTAGCGGAAAAGTGGAGGTGCGGCTGAGACTGGTCGAGCAAGGACATCCTAGCTGCTTAGGATTTATGTGTGGCTTGAGTTCTGGCGTTGTTCCTAAAAAAGGTATGTGGCACTTACCGCTGCCTCCACAACCAATGCACTGCCCACTGGCTGACAGCGACGGTCTTGGTAAGAAGGCTCAAACCCTCAAGATTGTCCAGATGGTTTCCGAAAAGGGATGGAACCATAATAGGAAGATCTCGAACGTGGGAGAACCACCATGCCCAGGACTGGTCATATGCAGCACCGTTATTTGGGAAGCACGTTAAAGCCAAATACCCTCCAAGACGTTGTATCTCGCTGAACAGCTGGTGGTACCTTGTCGAGTTTTCGGCCTCGTAGTTGGTACCTTAACTATACGAGCTCTACCTATTCAATGCCAAGTTAGAAGAACGGGCGCGCAATGGTGGTGCGCCAGAACGGCTGGTCTAATGGAACTAACAAGAGGTCTGGCTCCTCGTCAACAGAATTGCCAAATCGCGAAAACAGCCCAGAAGCGAAAGGAAAGGTGGTGGTGATGTGATCCCGCTTACGTGTGCGGCGAGGCGAGCTCGCACCTAGTCCTGAACCCCACCCTGCAAAGTCCTACACCAACATCAGACCGGTTGGCCACTGGAGGTAGGAATGTGGGAGTAATTGTAGGCAACGTAGTGGGCGGCAGGGCCAATGCATGGCGATGAGAATACCTTGGCGGGTAGGATTGAAGATCGTTTGTTCAGACGAGTGTACCTAGGCAGGTCGCCGATCAAAGATAGGTAGAATGAAAGGCTGGTTAACTCTGGATCAAAGCTCGGGACATGCTCCTCTCTAGCGCCAGGGCTGGGTTGCTACTCTTCCATCGTCCTTCCATTTACCGCCGTTGGCCGTGATGGGATGGGGTATGATAGTGCATGTAGACACCCTGCAATTTGCGCAGCTCTCTAAAACAATCCGTAAGCACTTGATTTGGTAGGAACCGGAAATGCCCATTGCAGCTGGCCTCTAAGGCTCATTTCCTGTGCGGTTCCATGTGATGTGGAATCGGAGGTCAGACCATGTCGCAGCCTAAATCTGACGCTGGATCTGATCTCAGGACTTGGAAGAAGGACTCCAGGCCGGCATTGTGCCTGTGCTCGCGTGTCTGGGCCTTGAGAGCCATGTCCAGGTGCATTCAATAGGGCCACTCGTGCGTTGCTGTGTGCGATGCGATAGGACAGGGGGAAGCCGCACGTTTGGTGTCTTTGCTTGCAGCGCTAGTGATAAATCTGTGCTTGGAGGCTGTGGTTCTGGAGGGCCTGGCCTGTGCTAGGTCAGAGAGAGATGCATCCCCGTCCTTCAAAGGTAGTGGGTACCTCGACGACAGCTTGGGAAGGTACCACTACCTACCACCTGCCTCGCTAAAGTGCTATGCTGGCTGCAGATTGAGCCGCCCATCAAGTACGGGTACATGCAATCAGTGGGCGCAATGGACACCGACCCGACACCCATTGACTGACGCCCAAGCCCAAGGACCTGGTCAGCAAAGCCCAGCCCAATGATTTGCGTGTTGCTGCGGAACATTGGCCTTCGTACTCGTGGACGCAGGACCTGGTTCAATTGGGGCGCACCACTGAGGATTTTCCCTTAAATCAATCCATCGTGGCCTTTACGAGCCAGCCCTCCTTGCCGAATCAGTTCGCGAATCATCAGCTCCATATCAACCGGCCACAGCTATTCTTGCTCCCCCCCAGGCTTGACCTGTGCTGAGGTGCTAGTCGCAAACGAGGCTTGTTGTAAGGCTCAGCTACAGGTCCACTAGCTGGAGCCCTGGGCTGGAGGAGGTATAGGCATAGACCCATATTCCCTCGGGGTGGCTACCTCCCCTCTCCCCGCTCCCTACTCTCATATGCAAGTTGGGTTGACCAGGGTACTTGCTAAGCAAGTTCTCACCTCTCCCCCATCTCCTGCGATCTCTTCCTCTGGCGTCTCTTTTCCTCCCCCCCTCTTCCTCTTTTCTTCCACATGAACTCTATGAATTCACGCTTCAAAGGCCTTGGCTTTGGTTTACGCAGATCCAACAGCAGCATCAAAGGTCCCGACGGCCAAAACCAACCGTCCAACCAAACCCCGCCTTTAGGCCAAGTCCCTCACCAGCCGCCGACCCCAGGACAGTCGCCCTCTCTCGGCGCCTCCTCCTCGACGACGAGTCTCCCCATGAACCATCCTGGTATTGGGAACCACCCACCGAGCTACGCGAACAATCTCCAACACGGCCCTGTAGGCCGCAACAGTCCTCTGAATCAAGGTCCCGTCCGCACACCACCGAGCCAAATGGCTGGAGGACCCCCTCCTATCAACACCGGAGCCCCCGTTGGCTACCCACCGGGCATTCAGCACCCAGGTATGGGCCATGGCCCCCCGATGGGCGGCCCTCCACCAGGATTCGGTGCTCAGACTGGATATCCCCCTCCAGGCGGACCGCCAGGCGGTGGAGTTGCACAGCAGTTCCAGCGGGGCAACCCAGCTGCTGAGGTCGAGGGTGCCAGCAAGAGCAAAGCTCAGCTGATTGTCGGAATTGATTTTGTAAGCTGCCTACGAGCCCGGACGACGAGCCAGGCTATGCACAGGCTGACACGATAGTTAGGGTACTACTTTCTCTGGTGTTGCTTTCGCCTTCGCTACAAACAACGAGGCCAAGGAGGACATCATTACCGAATGGCCAGGTGCTGGTTCTTACGCAAAGCAGAAGGTGAGTTGAGTCGGATCTACCCTTAGTCGAGCTCCCCCGGGATAATGTCCAGTGCTGACAATATGGTCTGCTCGCAGATTCCCACTGTTTTGTACTATGATCAATACCAGAAGGTGGTGGGCTGGGGACCTGATATTGCCGATGCCCTCGCCCCTACCGGATACCCCAAGCCTGGTGTGCAGAAGGTTGAGTGGTTCAAGCTGCAGCTTATGCTTAGCGGCAACACATATATCGATCCCATCAACCTCCCTCCCCTGCCACCCGGTAAGTCAGAGATTGACGTTGCCGCCGATTACCTCTTTAAGCTCCGCCAGGCTATGAGGGCAGCTCTTCAGAAGACCCTTGGTGAGGTGTTTAACCGAGAGGAGAGAAATATTCGGTACTACTTGACGGTGCCGGCCATCTGGAATGATGCTGGAAAGGCTGCTACGCGTGCTGCCGCCATTCAAGCTGGGTTCCTCCGAGATGAGAACGACAACCGTCTTACCCTGATTTCCGAGCCCGAAGCGGCCGCTATGTTCTGCTCGAAGACCGGTCTGCTCAACCTCAAGGTGCACGATGCCGTCCTGATCGTGGATTGCGGTGGCGGTACTGTCGATTTGATCGCATATGAGGTTGAAGATGAGAACCCATTTACAGTTGCTGAGTGTACCGCTGGATCTGGTGATTCTTGCGGTTCAACTGCCCTCAACCGAAACTTCAGTAATATCCTCCGAACTAAGATCCGCAAGATGAAGCTGCCCGACGGTTCCAAGACCGCCGGCCGTGTCTACGCTAAGTGTATCATGGACTTCGAGAACAGAATTAAGGCCGATTTCCGAAACAACGGCCAGAAGTGGGCTGTTGACGTTGGTATCGAGGCAGAGTTCCCCGAGGCTGGTATCGAGGAAGGTTACATGACCTTCACCAACGAAGAAATCTTGCAATGTTTCGAGCCTGTCGTAAACCGAATTTTGGAATTGGTGCGAAACCAGATTATTGCCATCCAGGCCCAGAACCGCACACTGCAAAACATCCTTGTTGTCGGTGGTTTCGGTGCTTCCGAGTACTTGTTCCAACAGATCAAGCTTCACGTTCCTCCCCAGTTCCAGGCTCGTGCCGTGCGACCTATGGACTCCGTCGCCGCTATCGTCAAGGGCGCCGTCACTGCCGGTATCTCAGAGAGAATCGTCACTCACCGTGTGGCTCGTCGACACTATCTCATGGCAACTCTTCAGCCTTTCAAGGAGGGTTACCACCCTGAAGCTTACCGTGTGCCTTCCCTTGATGGCAAGGATCGCTGCAAGTTTACTCGCCAGATCTTCGTCCAGAAGGGCCAGAGGGTCAAGAACGGTGAGCCTGTCAAGGTATCATTCTTCAGGCAGGTGGCTCCCGGTGCTACTCTCATGTACGAGGATGTGCTCTATGCATGCGACGACGATGTATGCCCGGAATATACCAAGGATCCCCGTAAGTTTACGTCTTTTACTCATCTTCCTATAACATATCTAATAGCTTTGCAGGTATTAAGGAAGTTGTCACCCTCACCTCGGACCTTTCGCGTAAGAACCTAGAGAAGGATTTCGAGCGCATGGATACCCCACAAGGAACCTTCTACCGCGTCTATTTCGATATTTACCTTACTCTCGACGGATCAGAATTCAGTGCCGAGCTTGTCTGCCAAGGCGAGGTTATGGGCCGCTGCCGTGCTCGCTTCAGGTAATTCGAGGCAAAAGGGTGAAGCGATTAGACGGTATGAGGAAAATTATAAAAAAAAAGAATATAGGCTCTAATGAGTCTCCCGAATTTTTTTTTTTGCTGGAGTCGTCGGGATGATACCTATTTTGCAGAGATATGCAAACCAAAACGACCGGGCCAACACCGTTTGGCCAAAACTGGAACAGCACGCCGGGCAGCGCCATCGCAAGCTGGGCTAGTGAAAGTTGTTAGATACCGAGAGATTCATGTCCAGGCAAGAGAAAGGGCGATCTTGGATCAGATCTTCGAGAGATAAACTATGGTTACCGTAGACTGAAGGCGATGACTTTGGAGTCGCTCTTGATTCCGGGTGCGGGAAGTGTTTCGGTATGGCGTATATGCATGAATGATATATTCTAATGATTAAATGTTGGTTTCTTGTTCCTTGACCGAAATGTGCAATTCTTGTTTGGCTCAGGGAAGAGGTTCATTTTGGGTCTCTTGGGCGTGGTATGGCGGCCAGTCATTGGACGATAAGAATGGGAATTGTGCCTGGTTGGTTGGACCCGCAAGTTCGGCTTGAGTATTTACGTAGATGGAAGAAAGCCTTATGAGGAAAGTCTCCTTGCGCATCGTTCATCATCCTGGCATGTCACGCAGCCAAACGATCGAATGGAAGGCAGTTGATCGATCAGTTCCTTAACCTGAATGGGAGAGGAGGACCCCGCCCACCTGGTTTGAAATCGCTATACCCATGTACCGCCCTATCCTGCCCTGTTCGCGGAGTCCCATCCAAGCAAGATCAAACTGGGCAGCTTGCCTGTTTCTCCTGTCGCTCCTGCGTCATAGCTTGATGTTGAGTCAACAATCAAGCAAAGACGGGCTGCACTCTCTAGAGTCAAATGCCCAAGATGGCGCCCCTAGATCTACGCTCTTGTTTCCCTTCCAATCTCTCTCTCAGCAACACCACACACCATCTTCATTGATATCCTGTATCCTGTAAATCGAGTTCTTGCGCAACGAATCCCTGTCAGTCGGCTCCCGACTGCCCTCTCGACCTTCTTTTCTCCCAACTTGTCTTCTTCTGTGGGCGACACGCTGGATTATCAATAGCACCTATAATAAACCCTTCTTTCATTCTACATCCATCTTCAGTTTTGGCCTTCGGCTCAATCTTGCAAACGAGCCCAGTGGTGTGGAGAGACGGGCACGGATAGTTGATATACTGGCTGGAGTTGGTCTTTCGACACACAAGCTTCGAAATTGGGTGCTCAAAAAAGCATTCTTTACTTCTACCTGCCTTAGAGGACACCGAGTCTGTCTCTTCTCACCCAAGGACTTCGAAAGCTAGCGAATTCTGCTATTAAGCAGTGAGTCGGACCAGAAGACATGGTCCGCTCGCGTACTCCACGGATCTCTCTTCACATGAGACTCTTGCCCATTGTGTTTATCGTCAGCGGGCATCTAGTGGAAAGCTTAGCAGCAAGAGAACAGTTTGTCTTTCGCCATGGGTGGCAACAGGACTTCATTCGTTTCGCCCCTCCGTCAACTTCACTGGCTAGCCGTGGCCCACCACAGGAAGGAAGTGGCCAGATACCTTTGAAGATTTCCAACAACTGCGAAGCAACGATCTGGCCGGGAATTGCAACTCAGTCGGGCACGGGTCCTGGTACGGGAGGTTTTGAGCTTCCCTCCAGAAGCACCACCGACCTCTGGGTATCTCCTGACTGGCAGGGTCGTGTATGGGGTCGCACCAACTGCACAGTCAATGGAGATTCTTGCGCATGCGAAACGGGGGATTGCTTCAACAAGCTAGATTGTGAATTCAGTGTAAGTGAAGCTCTGAAGAACCCACCGGGATTTTGTCAACTGTTACTGATACAGGATCAGGGTGCTACGCCAGCGACACTGGCTGAGTTTAACCTGGCTGGCGGATTAAACGGCATGCAGACCTTCTACGATATTTCACTTGTAGATGGATACAACATACCCATGGCCATAACCTACATCCCAGCAAAGAACACGACCTTCATCCCCCCCAATCTGACCAATGTTGCATGCATTGCTACCTCTGGCTGGCTCCATGCCCAGAATCAGACCGGGACATACTACTCAAACGCTACATACCCGATTCCGCTTGAGTCCTCTGAGACCAACGATAGTATTCGCAACTGGTGTCCTTGGGCGTTGTTGGTATTCCCTCCGATGAAACCTAGAGACGATGTATATCACTATCCGGACGACGCTCTTGAACGACCCGAGTTCTCACCCTGCCACAGTGCTTGTGCTGCATCGGGTCGAGACCAAGACTGTTGTATTGGCCGATATCACGACCCTAAGATCTGTAAGCCATCCTCATACAGCAAAGCTGTAAAGGCAATTTGTCCCGACGCGTATAGCTTTGCTTTCGACGATCAGCAATCTACGTTCATCGTTCCGAAAGGGGGTGGATGGGAGGTAATCATGTGTCCTGAAGGCCGATCGACTAACATTCTACGCCAACTCGGGAATGAAATGTTTGAGCTCGCGAGTGCTGGCAGCCTTTCACAAATGACGGTCTCCAAGCTTCGAAATGCCACTTATATCAACAGTGACAAGAGTGCTGCGACCAGGCTGCAGCTCCCTCCGCTTGGTATCCCTTTGGCCACGACCCTTGTCTCGTGGCTACTGAATTGATAGAATCTCTGGATGAATTTAATCAGTTTGCTTCATGCCTTCGTTTGGGAAACACGGCATGTCGAGATTGCTGGGTTGGAGGGCTGATCGACGAGATAGTAGCTGCTTCGCGGAAGAGTGAAGAAGGCGCCGTGTTTATTTATTGTTACCTGCTCAAGACCTTTGATACCCTTACGGTTTGGATCATAGACCGGATGCCATGCTTGCTTGAATATAATTTCTTGTGTACCTCTATCGCTATCACTTGGCCCATGAAATACAATCAATCAATCCACATGTCGTCTCATATAGAAATCTACCACAAACGCCTTTTTTCGACCAGACATATATATTCTAGTAACCGCGTTTCTCCTTCCTCCTCCGCTCGAATTCTATCCGTTCCTCTTCGTCACTGCCACTGAACTCGGCATCGTCGTCACTCTCTTCGGGCTGGACGGGGGCAGCAGCCCCCTTCTTGCCCTTGGGCTTGTCGTCCTCCACATTCACGTAGTCGCCGGCGTTCAAAGAGGCGAACTCGTGCTTGCGGATGACGTCCTTGAGCTCGTTGTTGGTGGGGTCGACGAGCTGGACGGCGGTGAGCCCGCCCTTGTTCTTGACCCTGGGATTCGAGCCGGCCTCGAGCATCATCTCGACGAGGGCCTTGCCGAAGTCGCGCTGGGCGGGGGGCTCCGAGTTGATCCAGCGGATGGCGGAGTGGAGGGGGGTGTCGCCATCGGTGCGGGTGACGGGGTCGCATTCGAACTCGGGCTGGTCGAGGAGGAGGTCTATGATTTCGTCTGGAGGTCCGGTTAGTAACAAACATTTCAGGGAATTTTGGCTGATTGGCGGATTAGGTGGTGGTGGTGGCTGTTCAAGGAGGAGACGACGCACAGTTGCCGCGGAGAGCGGCCTCGTGGTAGAGGTGGTTGCCCAGGACGGTGGTGGTCTCGTTGAGGAGGCGGGTGATCTCGGCGTCGGGCCTGCCCTCGAGGAGCTCCTCGAGGAGCTCTGTGTTGTTGCCGCGGCACGCGGCGATGAGCTGCTCCTGGACGGAGGCGCCCTGTGGGAAAAGGGGAAGTCTGTCAGCGGCGGACTGTTTGGAAGCAAGTATGTGCGAGTCCGTTTGGTTGCTCGGGCGCTGTGGGAGCTGGGTCGTTAGGGTGAACTTACATCGTGCTCCTCACCACCCATGCTGGCTCGCTTGTGGTGGTTCGTTCGTAGAGTCGGAAATGCGTTGTTGGAGATTGGGATAGGGGAGGTGAGGTTGTACACGAACTCTTTGCGACTCCTTTGGCGGTTTCAGTTGCTGTGGCAGTGCCAGAGAGCGAGTGCAGGAGCTTGTTAGTGATTACCTGCCCGCCTGCGCCTGGATGGCCTGGGCTCAAGTGTATCAGGCGGGGTTGTGGCTCTAGGCCTGGGTGGATGGAGGGGTAAAGGCGCCTGCAGGCCCAACGACCTGCCTAGCGAGTAGCGGTCTCTGGGCATCCACCGCCATGTAAAACGTTCGCTGTCAGGCTACCTGAGCTGGTCCTCCTGATTCGTAACAAGAATGGGATCGCATGAGCCAAACAGGAATCAGCACGTGTATTTTACATGAGCTGGCTGCGCAATTGGGAAATTGGAGGCTCCCGCACTCCCCTGGGGCCTCACAAGCTCAGCCTGCCGTGCGCTAGACAGTGGTGGATTACCTAAATTGAAGCCGCCAAGGCTGCGATTTCGATGTGGGTCTAATGTCTTGGTGCCCGCTCTTTTTTTGCATCACACTCGAGCTCGGATGTTGAAGATCTCCCCATCACTGCGAACTTGGCAAGGAAACAAACCACATTTAAACCAACACAGTACAACTCGACTGATCCAAGGACGCTAGCATACTAGGAAGAAGCCGAGTCTCACCCCTCTACGGCTCATCATGTTGCTCTGTGAGGTCAGCCCGCGAACTATGACTCTGACTCAAGCTAACCTATCCTTCAGTCTGCCCCCATTGCGCCAACATTCTAACCGTCTCCCGCACGAACCAAGGCACGAACCGACTCGAATGCCGAACATGCCCGTTCGAGCATAGCATCACCGACCCTGTCTTCTCCCGTCGCGCGTACGAGCGCAAGGAGCGGGAAGACGTCTTTGGCGGACCCGGCGCCTGGGATAACGCTCAGAAGGCCAAGGTTTCGTGTTCTAGCGAAAGCTGCAACGGCGACGAGGCGGCCTTCTACCAAGTGCAAATTCGATCTGCCGATGAACCGATGACGAGCTTCTTCAAGTGCATGACCTGCGGCACCAGATGGCGAGAAAACTAAAGGCAGGGGTTGGTGTGAGATAGGGGCCGCCTCAAGATATTACATCCCTAGAGTCGGGCAGACGGGATTTTCCAGGAGTAGAAGAGGAAGTTTGGTGTTTGGGCGTATTCATGCGGCACATTTGGGAGTTCATTGCAGATAGAATTGGGTGAGGCGTTGTCGATGTTAGACCTCGAGCTTTTGATAAAACAATATATGACGAGTTTATCTCCCATAATTGATGATTAGGCAGAAATTGGTTTTCGGGTATGTTGATATAATGTGAAAACTACGAATCAGCGTTCAAAAGCTAGCTTCGTCGAAATCGCCCACTCATGTTTCGCGGTGCCAGTCAACCGCGGCTTTCATCCCGGCCTCGGCAAGCTGGGCCGTGAGGTCTGGGCTGATGATGTTTGTTCGGAAGGCCTCCTGCTGGAGGAGCTCGAGATGACGAAGTGTTGGCCCTGGATAGATGAGATACTTGACATATGGCGGACGCGACCAGTATCGAAGGTAGGCGAGGTAGGCGACAAAAGCTGGCTGGGTGAGGAGTTGCTGGGAGGCGAGATGGTTGAGATATAAAGGGTTCGCGAGCGATTGAACAAACTACCGATTGGGTTAGGAGAACGCTGTGCACAGGGCTCAAGAGCTAAGCGGTAGGAAATGGCGCCGCGAAAACTGGAGGCTCTGCAACATACCTCAAGCTCGATTTCAAACCTCGAGAAACCGCCGTACATCGGTTCACTGATTTCTTCCTCTGAGGGCGGCTCGGGAGGGACAGAAGAGTTGATTTGCGTATCCTGAGCTGGTGTTGACTCCATATCTGTTGGCGGGCAAGTGGGCGCTGGCTCGCGTTGCGATATTTGGGTTGGTGGATGGTTGTGAGAACAGGTCTAGGAGCAGTTGCAGGCTCTCTGGCGATAAGTTGTTGGTCGCATGGACGGCCTCCCTCATTGTGGAGTTGAAGGGTTAGACGAGCACTAACAGCACTGGCTTCACCCCACTAGAAGTCCCGTCCCTGTGCCTGCTAAGCTTGCACCTCTTCGAACAGAACAATGTCGCATCCGCCGTGGTAAGCTTCCAGCTCTTCTGCTTTTGAAAAAGGTAATATGGAAGGTACGTCCCATGCATGGATAAGGCACTCTCGAAAAACCAGGCAAATTTTCTTAAGGCGAGTGCGATAGGCCAAGTTTCCTTCCCTAGGTTCACGAGCGCTATTGTGGTTCGGTGGCTAGGTGGTTACCTAGCCGCAGGCAAACAGATAGCTGCCTAACAACTGTCAAAGAATATTTTATTCCTCGTTCCCTAGAAACATTCATCTTTGTTCATCCAATGGCAATTCATGTGTCTACTGTCAAAATTTTCTATTTAAAGATCGTTCCTCTTGCTACGCGCTGATAGATACCTCTGCCGATACTAGCATCGTTGATTCACTCTCTACACCCCACACCCGCCAGCGGCCAATTGATTGATCTTCATCAATAGGTATCAAGGAAAGAACATAGGCAGAGAACAAGCATAGCCTGTGATATCTCGCTTGAATATCTTCCATTTCTTGTCAATCGTTCGAGTCCGTTTGCCATACCCTTGATAAGATGACCGCCGACGCCAAAATCAAAACCCGAATACTCATTATATCTGATACCCATGGCCAAGTGCCGTATACTAGAGCCGATGGTAGTCCGGACACTGAAGATGAACTCGGAAGCGACGAGCTAGATCGCGTCCCAACAGGCTTTCGCGACCCCTTACCCAAGGCAGATGTGGTCCTGCATTGCGGCGATCTCACCATGAACAGCGCGCCGGAGGAGTACCGAAAGACCTTCTCCATGTTGCGGAAGTTACAGGCTCCCATAAAGCTGGTCATTGCCGGGAACCACGATAGGGCTTTGGACCGGTCTTTTTGGGAGAAGCAACGGCTGTTTCGTCCCGAGCGGTTACCATGGGCCGACGAGGCTAAGAGCATCATTGAGGAAGCGCGGGCAGATGGCGTTATCTACCTGGACGAGGGTGTTCACACATTTGATCTGGAGAATGGCGCCAGGCTCAGAGTCTACGCCAGTCCTTGGACTCCCCAGTATGGGAGCTGGGGATTTCAATATGACAATGGTCATAATTTTGAAATCCCACCAGATGTCGATGTTGCGATGACCCATGGCCCGCCATACCAGGTTCTGGACCTCGCTGGGTTCGACTTGACGAATGCAGGCTGCCCTGATCTGCTAAAGTCAATCTACATGGCGAAACCTCAGATCCATTGCTTCGGGCACATTCATGAGGCATGGGGAGGATATCTGGCAAGGTGGAAAGAGCAAGATGGGCCACACGCGATTCCGAAACATATAATCGATGATGAGAACTCGGTTCTTATCAAAAAGCGGAAAGACCTTTCGCTGCCGTTCAGAATCTCAAGAATTGAGGATTTTGGGGCAAATGTGGAAAAGCGAAAAGCTCTCGTGGAGATCAGTCGGCGTCGAGGCGTGCATGTTGACCTCACAGAGGGAGAGACTCACCTTCAGCAGGGAGAGGCGACGCTGTTCTTGAATGCTGCCATTATGAGCATCCGGTACCGGCCCATCAATCCGCCTTGGCTGGTTGATCTAAACCTCCCTACCACTGAACAAACGTCGACGTCATCCTAGGAAACATAAGGTACAAATCTTGGACAATTCAACCGACTGTTGCTATTGTTCAAAGTCACGTGGAAAACATTCAAATAATGGCTAGAAATCGGGCAGTCTGTCTTGTTATGGCACACACCGCATAGGATAAGTGCGGCAGGTGGACAGGGAAGCTAGGTAGCTAGATTGTATTAGAATGAATGGTAGTGAGGACAGATACAGAATATAGATCATTATGACCATTTATTGCCATCAACATATTGTGATTATAGTTGACCATTAATTAATAACCTAAGCTACATTACAACATATGGGGCTGATATCGTTGCCAATTCCCCTATCGTAAACTTTTCATTATCTTAACCTGCGTTTCTTAGTTGCGGAAGTGGCTGGCGCGTTCCGTTGACACTTGGGTTGAGCTCACCCCGGCGAAAGCCAAGGCTGTCCCGGTGTCAACCCAATCCTATACGGAACATTCCAATTCGTTCACTGATAGCCCTTTACAGAGCAAGGAAGGCAGCGAACATGGCAAGACCAGCTCCGACGACAGGTCGGCCGGCATCACCAGTTCCAGTCGCAGAGGCGGAGGCGCTGGCAGCCGAGCTAGAAGCGGAGCTGGCCGACCTGGAGGCGGAAGAGCTGGCGCTCGACTCGCTCGACGAGGCGGAAGCGGCACTTCCAGTAGTAGAGGCAGCGGAGTCGGTCGCGGTCGAGGATGCAGACGCGGAGTCAGTGGACCCGGAGGCAGAGCCGGTGGTGGTGGCAGAGCCAGAGGCAGATGTAGAAGCAGAGGCAGAGGCAGAGCTGGAGCTAGCTGAAGCAGAAGCAGAGCCAGAGGCAGACATGCTGCCGGAGACGGAGGCGTTGGGGCAGAGGGTAGTGAGGAGAGACTGGGCGGACTTGAGCTCGTCCGCGCTACAGTTCTTGGCGAAGCAGTCGGCTCCATTGGCCATGATGGTGTTGATGTTCTTGCAGATACATGTGATGTCGATGCCCTGGCAGTCGGTGCCGCTCAGGGACTGGGCCAGGCATGTGGTCTGCGTTGCCAATGGTTAGTCTTCCATATCTCCCATTGGTTATTGATCAGATACTTACAACACAGGAGGGAATGTTCTGAGCGGCGGCGAGGCCAGCGGCTGCAAGGAGGATGATAGAAGCCTTCATGTTGATGGTTGTTTGTGTCGAGGGAGCTTGAATTCGGGCAAGTGATGTGGTATCTGGTTGGGCAAGAGAAGCTATGTCAAGCAGGTTGGTGCGTAAGATCGAAAGGAACGAGGTGAGGGGGGACAAGCCACCGTCTTTATTTACTTTCAGCTACATTAGCTTTCTCCAATGAGTGCAAAGCTAGATTATGCACGGTAGGATACAACGACGGTGGTTGAAACCTGACCAATTAACGTGGAGCGGTTCTTAGACTCTCCGGGATGATTATCCTTGACCACGCAGGTCCCATCGACCTGCAGCCTGACTACGACCCCAGCCGCAAGGGCCTGAGCTGGGCTGATTTCCAACATACGACAGGTGTGACAGCTGAAATTGAGCTCGGCAAGGTCTTATCCGGGGCAGCTTTGCTTGTTTTGTATCGAGCTGACCATCCTAAGACAGTGGCTGAAAGCCGGGCGCCCACTAGACGCAGCCACCGGCCATCTCCCATCGGTGACTTGTAGCTTTCTGCCCGAATGAGTGTGTAACAAAGGAGGGTGGGCAGGAAAGTTTGTGGACCCTGTTCCGGTTTGGACGAATCCGAGAAATATACGCCAAATAAGGATGTCTCAATGACCACCTACCCTTGTGCGTGTGTCTCCTCATCCATAGGGAAGCATTATTACGTACGGCATACCACCAGCGCTTTTCTCCGTATTCCTGTGTGCTAGGTGATGGCCAGCTTGTCGCAAGTGGGCATCAAGAACTTCTTCCGAGTCACATCCGAAGATTGATACCCATGGCAGGGCCGTTGTATTCCCAGTTCGTATGATACCGAAGTGCAAAGAGCTGCCCGTCACGGGACTTGGGGGTCTGGAAGAAGCTGCCGAATGAAGAAAACCGGCTGTCGGTTTGCCAAGTAGTATCACTCTTCTTGACAGAAGCTATGGTAATTAGCAATGAGAAAGCAAACATGGGAGTTGCCTTGCCTGCCTCCATCCGAGCTTCGGCTTGGTTGCCAGGGGTATGTGTCATGCTCCGCTCCCATGAACCACTTGAATTCCTCAAATGCTTGTTTCCCCAGCTCGCAAATTCAAGCTAACCTATCATAGCTATCGCAGTGGGCCTAGACTCTGGTCCGGTGCCTGGGGATGCGCCATGTCTGATTGACAAGGTGATTTACCACATCCTGACATACACGGCAGGTTGCCCAGCGGCATGTCTGAGTTTCGTGGGAGTTTGTCCTCGTACTGTGTACCCCAGTGGAGCAATCCCCTTGGCTACTGCATTTCTCTGGCCAAGTGAGCTTGCTTGCAATCAGGAGCGTCACTGTTGAATATCTCAGAATTGATCGATGAACCGATGTTGGTAAGATGATCCAGCTGCGAGCTGATCACAGTCGAAAGAGCAGCTCCCGATTGTCGGTTCCCTATCATTACAAATTAGATATAAAACACAGCTTCCACTCTGGGCAACCGAGAAGACAACAGTCAACAGCTGCGAGACAGAATGGGTACCTGGGCACAACAGTCCTAGAAGTGAGATGGTAACATCATTGTTGTGTGAGCTTGGATGAAGGAACGCAAACCTGCACATGGGCGAACCGCTCGAATCTCAGCCAATTGCTTGGGGTGTGGTCGGGAAATAGTGACGTGAAGGGAAACCTGCTCCGCGTCCTCTTTCCTTATTACTATTATGTATGTTATGGTACCGCATCTACACTCTATCGTCCCATTGTTGCCTGCTCATAATGATGGGTCGGGCAGGGTCCCAAGGACCCCGAATCTCATTCTTGTACTTCTGCAACCCAATTAGCCACCAGCTACAGCCTCCAGTGGCCAGAGTAGCGATGATGATGCTAACAATCATCCCTATGATGCCGCGCTTCCACGGCCAAGGTTGATCCTTTGGTAACTTCCCGGACACCAACCCCACGCCCAAGCCAGCACCGAGAACGAGGACAACGGTTAGACAGATATGATGTTGAAAGCTCCGATGCTTAACGTGACGTCGAAAGACGGGGAAAAGGCCGAAGACCTCGATGCTGAACAAGGTAAGGCTAAAAACCTGCCTCGTATCTGGAAGACGGCTTGCCAGGACCGTAGATGCCATCAAGGCGGCATTGGTAGATAGCGAGGCTGGAAATTTGGTGCTCACCCCGCCCGAATAATCGAAAGAGAATATGTTGACGAATAGAAGCCAAAAAGACATGGCCCATATGCTATCGAGAGAGGTGGACTGGGTGAGAGATTTGAGTATAGGGCTGAGCCCAAGGAGGGTGCAATAGATCAGAATGGCTGATTTGATGGTTCCCAGGCGTTCGTGTGTCCGATTTACATCTTTTATGATAAAAGGAGGGGTCTCTGTCTTGAGACTCTCGTGGCTAGGCCTGGAGACGAGGGATGGGGTTGTCGTGGACGATCTCAGGGACAGCTGAGGGGGTTTGGAACCTGTAATTAGATTCGTTGCTGAACCGGTGGCAGATCCTTCGCGTGATGGCGGCTTAGATGGCGGCGCCGAGGGAGCGGCAACAGACAGGCTCGCCTCTGTCCGGAGCGGTGTCGGGCGACGTATGCTCGCAGCTCTGGTACGGCGTCTACTGAGGCTTCCGCTCCTCCCAACCAATGTCGAGACACTCGTATTAAGCTCTTCGACCTGGTCCTCCTCAGTTACCCATCGCTCCCACATTAGCCATCCTACAAATGTCCCGGCACTGCTCCAGCTGACGACTGAGACGGGAGAGACTCGCTCGCGATGAATGCACGCGAAGCAGACGACAAATATAATGACAGAGCAGACATGCTGTAGGATCACTGTGGAATCTGCCACCAGGGGCCAGAAGTCATAGGGTTTGAGTCGCGGATTTCGTTGTAGGTTCTCGAGAAATGTCGCCTGGTCGGTGTAGTTGTCCGGATCTAGAGGTCCATTTGATTAGCCTGAGCGCTCTCCTCCACAAGCCTACAGGTCTTCTCGGAGGACGAACACGACTGCTTCACCCACATGAGCTTCTTCCAAGCCCGTTTCCGCCTGCGACTGCCACCTCGATCATTGACGCGCCTCAGACGTGAGTGAGTCGATTCAGCTGCGCTGTCGCCGCCGTAGCCACGCGATAGAGGGGGCACGAAGGCATCGTCAGGGGACAGGAGGCTGCTGAACGTTGGCTGGTGGTCTAGCGTCGGGAAAGGGGTCTCGCTCTCGTCATCATCGGTCGGCGACAGCATCGTATACGTGTGTGTCCAGATAGCATGTGGTCATAGCCGTGAAGGCAGCCAATGCGGACGGATAGGTGTCGTTTGAGATGTTGAGGCGGTAGCCATTGCAAGGATTAATTGCCAATGTGGCGGCTCTACCCACTACGCCAGCTGCACTTGGCAGGCGCATTAGGCCGAGGTAGATCAGCTAGAAGAGAAGCACTGAACCCCTCATCACCGCAACTTTGCGTGCATTGAATGCCTCAATTCTGTTCCAATTCTCCTGCTGCGACTGTATTGGATTTACTTCTTCCATCTTCTGATGCCCTTTCTCTTACTGCACTTTCAGAGGATCCGAATTGTTGGCATCGAGCTTGTCATCTCAAAACACCTGAATACCTGTACCTGCCCACTGTCTAACAGCACCCGCCTAGCTCTACAGTGCTTCTACCTGCGACAAACGTGCCTTCCATCTTGCCCACCCGCCTCTTTCCTTCTACAAAGAAACAAAGCTGGCTACCTATAGAGAACAAATTGAAATTATGGCGACATACGAGACAGCCTTGGATCGACACGTCACTGTGGGAGATCAAACATTTGCCTACCGGCTTTTTGGCAACGCCGGCCAGGGCGTCACTCTAGCACTGCTACATGGTTTCCGGTATTTGCTGACCTCCCTCCCCACGAGACACAACACAGGAAAAAATGTATGGCTGTGGAGCTAGACCAACATGGCACTAACGGTGCTGTCATAGGGGAACAATGGATCATTGGGATCCCAAACTTATAAACGGTTTCGCAGCGACCCGCCGAGTTCTTCTTATTGAGAACGTTGGTGTCGGCAGATCAAGCGGCGAGGTTCCCAAATCACTACCGGCGTGGGCGCAGCACTACATCGACGTCTTCTTGGCGCTACACCTACGCCAAGTTGATATTCTGGGGTATTCAATGGGCGGGTGTGTTGCTCAGCTTGTCGCCCTCAATGCTCCAGCTGGCTTAATTCGACGCATTGTCCTGTGTGGTACAACTCCCAGTTCTGGGGATGGTGTTGTGAGGGCGCCGCTGGGGCCATTCAACCAAATCAAAGCAGCGCAAACCGAGAGTGAGCACAAGGATGCCTTCCTGTCCAGCTTCTTCACATCCTCAAAAGCTAGCCAAGCTGCAGGATTAGCGGCATGGAATCGGATGGTGAGTTCGCGCCCAGACCGAATCGATCATGTCCCCGCCGAGGCTGCACATCGACAGGCTGTCGCCTTTGCCAAGTTCATGGATCCCAAGCAGGCATCTGAAGGGTCTTATGACCGATTTCGCCAGATTCGACAACCCGTGTTGATTGCAAACGGTATAGTTTTTGCATGCACCTGCGCGCCCCCCACAACCCCCGGTTCCGACTGACGAATAATGCAGGCAGTAATGATCTCTTATTACCAACAGAAAACAGCATCTTGATGTGGAACATGCTCAAGGACGAGGGTGCGCAGCTCCATCTTTACCCAGATTCCGGGCATGCCTTCCTATACCAGTACGCGGCGCAATTCGCGAGAACGGTAAACGATTTCTTGGATGAACCGGCTCCTACGGCTAGTAAACTTTAATACCCATTAATGACCGGCGCACTGGGTCTAGTACGTTGGAATTCAGCTGGATCTTCGAACGACCTGATGCCTACATCTGTCTGTCTATCTACCGAAGTACTCCAGCGGACCATGAGTAATCGGACATTGCTATATTTTTGGAATGGAAGGTCGAGTCATTTGACTGCTGACCCGTGCCAATGGATTCTGCTCATCCGCTAAATTGGCCACCTGATACCAGGCTGGAAGCATCCATGGATGACAGGATGCTGGTGCGGTGCAGGCATATGCCAGTCGTCTCACCTGGATTTCGCCCGGGATTCCAACAGTGCGATTGCCAATCCGCTGCTGTAGGATTCCAATGTCATTCTAGCGCATCAGGCCGAGGCGGCGGCAGCTAGCCTCGAGAATCCATCACTCACGATAGCGTCCTTTTAAGCTCAGCAGTTTCTCCACCTTGCCCAGGCTTCGCGATCTGTCGCCGCAAACGGATGTGCGTTCATATCTCTAGTAGAGCTGACGGCGATGCGGCTAGGCGAACTCTGTCACACCGCTATTTATAGTTCGAAGGCACAGCGATCTTGCTCCCAGGAGGATCGTCATTTTTGGCTTTAATATTCACCTGGCCGTTCCCCCCACCCCAGAACTCGTTCGTGACACTCTGCCATCTCCTGTCATGTTATCCATCACATCTCTGTTGGCAGACAAACCAACGGCCGCCCCGGATAGTGTGGAGACCCGTCCGGTGTCCAAATTCAAGCTTCTCCCACCCGAGATCCGACTCAAGATATGGTCCTGCGCCATTGAGCCAAGGGTAATTCTGTTGGCTGATCTCGCCCAGAAGCCATGCTCGTACCCCCTGCCAGGGGTCACGCAACTGAACACGGAGGCGCGAGACGTGTCTCGGCGAGGGTACGAACCGGTTGGCAATGGGTCGTTTGTCCAATTCTCTAAAGATATGCTCCTGTGTGATCATGTATTCACTGAGCAGCGTCCTAATCCCCTGCTGGAGACAATAGCCCCAAGGATTGAGCGCGCCATCTTCTGGGACTGCATACCTGACGAGAGAGTCAGACGCCCGGCCGACTACTCGACTTACCTCTCTACCTTCTACGGGGGGAACCGGACTGGGCACATCTGCTTTGACAAGCTCTGGTTTCCGAATCTACGTGAATACTGGTTCATCAAAGTTGGGGAGGTGGACAAGGAGTGGATGATAAGCTCCGATCGCAACGCGTCATTCGACACCCGCACCCAGCAGATGGCACGCGAGTTTAATTACTGGGTAAACGACAACATTGTCGAAATGGCGCATCTCGACATGCGAGATTCGGGGGCGCAGACGGTGCTTCGTGAGGGGCGCTGCAGCCTGGATAATTGCCGGTCGCTGAACCGTGGCCGGAATCATATCATGTCCAAGGTGAATTTCAAAGACGGCAACTACCAGGCCCCGGATGATGGAAGAAGCTGGGTTCGCATCTCCTCTGCTATCGATGGAAGCCAGCATGGCTCTAGCACGGCAGCATCTAGCGGGCGGATCGTGAACCACACAAGATGGGCACTGGTCGAAAGAAGCTTGACATTTATGCTGCGTCACGACTGGCCAAGCTCACAACATGGGCCCAGGATGAAGCGTGATCACCGGTCATAAGCTACAAGTTGAGGAATATCGCGAAGGAATGATGGGATGAGGAAGGAGGTTATTGTCACAAGATTGAAGACTGTATTCGTTGGTTATTATTTTTTTTCAGCCCATTTTGGTTTCTTTTTCTTTTCTGCTCCCTATATTGGGGCGTGCTCCAGCTTGTTCCTGGGCAACAGACATGTTTATTGGGCAGATTTTGAGGAGTCATGCACCGCGACGCAATCATGATGGAAATGGTTGCTCTTGTTGAGGTCTGTTTTGATTCTATTTGATAATATTTTTATGACATATTTAGGTACCGTGTCAGAAAGAGGCGAGCAATGTATAGATAGATATAAGGTTGGCAACGGAAACCTGTGCATAATTGTTAGGGTAATAGGTCGAGGCCAAATCCCATTGATTACAGACGGGCCATTCGCCCGCTCATTCTCTCATAATATAGCACTTTCAAACATGGTGTGGCCCAACTAGCCGCAAGTGAGTGTCCACATTGCCGTGGCCGGCCGAAGCGGCGACGGATGATGGATGGATGCAAGCAAGTCTTGAGCCGTGAAAAACGTAGACATCCGCGGGGGCCGAAACGACCCACGTGGGAACATGTAGATTTCTCTATCCAGCTCCATGGGTCAAAGACCAAACAAAGCCGGCCCCGGCCAGGCATGCTTTGGGTAAGGGTTTGGATAGCGTCGGGGATGTGGTGGAGCTGACAACGAACGAGCCGAGGCATCTCAGCTTTTTTGGGGGCAGTCTCCTTTTTATCCTGCTGGCGTTGCAGAGACTCTCAACAATTAGAGCACCTCTCTGGTTGCCCCGAAGGCGATGTGAAACCGCTGCGGGCGAGTCAGGAACCCGATGCAGGTGTCGATTGACCTGCCTCATCTGGCGGTTTGACTGTGGTTATGGTTAAATTATGTCATCAGCTCCGACGGCTCAACAACACCAGCGGCTCCCAGCTTACTTCGTGCTCCATCTAGCTCCATTTTCTCCATTGTTGGGGCTCGGTTCGTCGTCCTGGTTCATTGTGTTCAGCAATACTGAGTGACATTTTAGGTAGTGGGCGAGTTACGCAAAGTCTCCAGTTTATTGCCATTGAAAATGCTTTGGAAACGGCCGCCACTGGCGCCGATGGCCAGGCTCGCGCAACATCTAAGTAACGGCCCGCGACCTGGCAAGAGACATCTGGCCTCCATCCTGCTCGCGACTTTTCTCATCCTACAGCTACGACAGCTTCTCCGGCTCCTACGCAGACGCCGCACAGAAACCACAATGGCTGCTGCAAAGAAGGCTCCCGCGATCCCGGGCTTCACGGCCCTCTCTGAACAGATCTTCGTGCACCAGCCCGACCTGAGCGACGGAAAGACTGTGCCAGCAGACGACCCGGATGTGGTCATGGTCTATGGCTGGGGAGACTGTCTCCCCAAGCACGTCGCCAAGTACGCCGACGGCTTCCGCGAGCTGTTCCCCCACTCCAAGCAGATCGTCGTGCTATCCCCCATTTCCAAGGCCATGTTCTCCGATCTCAAGGGCCGCTCGCAGTGGATGACGCCCATCATCGACGAGATCTTCCCTTCCGGGCCTCACGCCCCCGATGCTCCCAAGAAGATCCTGGCCCACACCATGTCCAACACGGGCGCCGTCTTCTACACCTCAATGATCAATGCCTACCAGGACCGTTACCACGAGCCTTTCCCTCATCAGCTTCTCTCCATGGACTCCACCCCCGGTAGCACGGACTTCCACTGGGCCAACCTGCAGCGCTGGTCGCGCGCCATGGCCCTCGGAACCGCTGGTTGGTTTCCCTGGCCCTTTGTCGTCACGCAGATCATCTGGGGCATGGCCCTCTCCCTCAACGGCCTGTACGAGTCCCTCATTGGCCGAGAGCACGCCGGTGCCTGGGGGCGCAAGGCCGCCAACAATGAAAAGTACGAGACCAAAGGCGCCAGGAAGCTCTACCTATACAGCAAGGAGGATGACTTGATTGGCTATGAGGACATTGAGACTCACGCTGCCGAAGCGGCGAAGCTGGGCTGGCAGATGGACCTCGAAATGTTCGAGGGCAGCGGGCATGTTGGGCACATGCGGGCACACGCAGTCCAGTACTGGAAGGCTATCCAGGATTCATGGAAGAGGGCCATTGCGGCGCCGGCTGCTGAAGCCTCGTCGTAGTCGGTATCCCCTTCCTTTGCTGCGGTTCTTTTCGGTGCTTCTTTTTGGGTTCTACTGTTCCAAGACTGTTCTCTTCTTTTGATAATGACCTTTTTAGGGCTCATCCGCAAGGTGCCCGTAAAAGGCGAAGATGTTTGGTTGATCTTAGCGTTGAACAATATTGCACTCTGAATGCTTACATATAGATGATAAATGAATGGTAATTGGTATTTCTCTGGCGACTTTCAGATCTCATTTCATTAGTTCTCTTCGGTATCATTGCTCTGTAATAACCTCCCAGAATCGCCGCTCTCGCCACTTCCTCTTGCAGCTGAGTTCGTCTACACAGACTCCACACTTGGTTCTTATATCAGCCTCACGGCATGCTTCCGGGACTTTGGTGTAGAGCGCAAAACAAAGTCCCCATGGGGAAAACTGCCGGACTGGATTGCCAGCGTGTTGAATTCATCGCAAAGGCGTTCGTGCGTGCGGCTTCTGGGTGAATGGGTGTCGTATTGTCTCTTACATGCCCATCGCGGCCGGACTAGGTCAACTCGGCACACGGTTGATTTGATGCCCAATTCAATAACTCTTCTCGCACGCAGGTCTTGATTCATTTTCTTCATCCACCCCTCCCCCCATCAGTTTCTCAGGATCCTGCCACAGAAGCTGAGTTTCCTACAGCCACATGCATGCATGCCTTGATATTCCACACATGCGGTAAGACTCCCGAGCTCAGCCAACGAGAGCGCTTTCGCAAACAAACCGAGCCTTCCAATGGCGTGTCACGACGTACTCGTCAGCTTTCCAGGCCCGATGCCGCATCTCAAGTCCACAACGGAGCTCGGCCGCTATAGCATTATATCGTACCAGCTTACAATACGAGGAAAGCGAGCAGCGGCACAGAAAGCCATCTCATCACATATCCTCTTGCGATGCCAAGATGGGACACGGAAGTTCACAGCTATGCGCTGACTGGGCCACCAGGCTGACGGACGATCATTGCTGCTTGCTTCGTGCCGCTGAGTGAGGGCCTTTGCCAGAGACACCGCAAGCCACCTCACCTTGTCTTGATCCAGCTTGCCCCGCGTGATCCCGTAACTTGTCTCTGATATTCCAGCTTTTTCATTTCCTCTCACGTAAAAAGTTATCAAACAAGCAAGTTTTTCTCTTTACCCCGCTTCCTCAGCCCCGTTCCCGCCCGGCATTTCATCAGGTCGGGTGATCTCTACGCTTCAGGTTTGCTATACGAGGCCGTTGGGCCTGGCGCATAGCAGACTCCAGCTTATACGCATGATGAGAAAAAAAAGTCACAGATGGGGAACTGGCTGCCTTCCAGCCCATAGGAGGCATCGCAGTCTCGCGACTTGTGCTGGATTGGAGGCTGCTTCGTATTTGAACGTAGGGAGCTGAGCTAAGGTAGTTATGCATCACCCTAGCGGTTTGATCTGCAAGAACAGGATTTGTCGGGGGAGAACTACCAATGAGGGAACGGTCCCAGCCCTCAGCTGATGACTCTCGTCACAAACGCAAGGGAGGTTGCAGCCGAAGTACTCAATCCAAGCATGCCTTCTGGGGCTTTTCTTGTCAGCGACGCTGGTTTGAGATGCATCGTGATTGGTACTTTATACCTTGCTCGTTCTAAAGGCCATTCTATACGATGGTCCCCAAATTTGCGATATGCACATGAGAAGCGAAGAATCGGCACATCACATCCAGCTGAACCACACAACGCCCAGGCTGACTTACGGCCTCTTACTGCCGCCTTTTCCGTCCCCGTTGTGGGCGTGGTGAAAGACGGCCGGTAGGTGAGACCAAGTGACGCAGGCGGCGGCACTTTGGCTCAGTGTGGCCCCAAGGAGCTGTTCAACCTAACATGACTACTTATGCATTGTCATACCGTATTCCCACGGCATATAATGCGAGCATCGGCATCTGACTGGCTGGGGTACTTCGATCTCCCCACGTGGAGAGAGGGGGGGTTGATCTGACACCACAATGCGGAGCAGCCAGGCAACGTCGAGGAATGGTGCATGCAACCATAACGAACTATTTCCTCCCATTTGAGGCCTTTGGTCCGTTTTATACAATGGGTCTTTGGAATTTATACCGGTTTTAGGTTATTTACGTAATCATTGGGAGAGTCTGTTTTCATCACCATGCTTTAAGACGAGAGAGGAGTGAGTGCAAATTCCACGTTTGTTTGCTTCTATAGCATTGTATAATATAACTAGCATAAAAGGATCGTACTGAACGTTCAGGTAAAAATCAAATAACCAGATTGAAGCTTCGTAATCTGTTAAAGGATCGTCTGAAGAGAAAAATTGCGTGTTCACGCTCCGATGCTCTTCTTTCATCATCACTCATCCATACCATCAAGATTGGCTCCTTTGATCAAGAAGGCTCCATGTCCCGAGCCGGGCAATGCCTTGCAGACCTCTTAAGGGAACTTGAAGTCGGGAGGGACGCAGTAAGGGCTCTTGCTGGGAGGGTAGAACTTGCAGACGGTGTTGGGGGGGCAGCTGCCAGAGAACTGTTGCAAATAATGTCAGTAAACTGATGGGCAAGTCTGTTCCCCCCTCTTCTTTTCAGATAAAGAGGGGAGTAAGGAAAGGGTAACTTACAACCCACTGGCCGTTGACATCGCATGTCTGCCATCCAGGGCCACCGCCGGGGGCGGTTGTGCAAGAGTAGGTGCCGGGCTGGCAGCCAGGGTTGGGGTTGGGGGCCGCAGAGGCCAGGGCGAAGAGGGAGGCGGCGGCGATGGCGAAGACCTTCATCTTGGTGGATTGGGAGTGGGTGGTTTTGAATTAAGGTATTGAAAAGAGTTCTTTAAGGTTGTTCTTGGTCTGGAAGGCTCTTGAGGTGATGCTGGATGGGAAAGACTGGGAGAGACTGAGGGAGGATGGTCTCAATTTATAGAAGAATAAAGTTCGTCTTGTCCAAGGAAGACACATTCCATGGATCTCCCGATGCCCGACAATAGGCAGAACCGATACGAGCTCGAGGAGCTGCAGGTGTCTTGCGGCTGACGAGGATACGAGTGTGATGATGGCCTGTTGCAGCCATGCTCTGCACAGCCTATCCAGACATGGCGCTCTGCTTAACTCTTCTTGGAAGTGTCTCTTACTTGCCAACACTCGATATTCTCGTGGGCTCTCGGCACCTCTACCCGTCAGATACGACGGCTTTCGAAGAACCGGTGAGGGAATTAGTCTTGGCCAAGCCGGTAGGACTTGACGCCTGTCGGGGAATTCTCCTGCGTAGGAGGCTGAGCTGAATAACGAACAAAGGAGTGTGGATCAGGCCGTTTTTGTTGAGGGTTTCGACTTGCATGCCACTCCGTAGAGAGTGTGTCGATCAAGTCTCACTCCCCATGTAGACTTTAGGCTCAGCCTAGGAGAACCGACTGGCTCCCTCCACCGATGAATGGAATCCAGCTGCCCATGACGTTCCGTTCGCTGCTTGGCAGCTTATTCGGTCTTACTTTGGAGGCATGACGACGACTTGGTGAGAAAGCTGGGACTTCAGGCACTTGCAGGGCCTCATTGGACGGCAGGTCGGAGGCGTTCAGCCTACACGGACTACGGGTATCGCTTCTCCCAGCTTTGTACACAGCCCTCTCTGTCTATTCATAGAATCAACGCGGTATGGAAGTCTTGATGCCACTAGTTATCCATCGACTTGGAGGGAAAATCCGGGGTACATCTTGGGGGTGTGGGTGTGGGTCGAAGAAAGGGCCGACAGACCAAACCAGCCCGTGGTCATCTCCCAACTACATAGGGTCCCAGGATGGGGAAAGACGAAGAGGACTCGACTCAGGCATTACGAGAAAATGAAGGGCGGGGAGGGGTGCGAGGAAGCTGCTCCAGTGGTGGCTCGCCAGGTGGATAGCAGAACAAAGCCCGCCATGGAGTGTGAGACCTGGGCGGACGATACGAAGCGAACAAGGTTTGCACCGGGGAGCGGTGAGGTTCCCTTCTAACGGAGGTGTTACGTACTACAGTAGTGCCCTCAGCCATCATTGCACCGAGTAGGGCTGAGACGGGTCGCGACACCCGGTGTCTGATCGGCTACCGGCTGCAACGCTCCAAAATAGATCCAGCCCAGTGCCTCGAGGGTAAGCGGTAGATGAGATCGGCCCGCCTCCGGAGTCGCCTATCCCGTGGACGCGCCAGCCAACCCTGCGGGATTCAACGGTCTCGTGGATTGAAAACGTAATTGAACATTGAACAAAGGACCCTACTAACTCATTTCGTGAGTGTTGATAAGGGCCGATAGAACAGTTCGGCGATGAATGCAAGTGTGATCCACGGATTGGAACGAGCGTTAGCCCGGCTCTTGATGAGGATAGGGACATTTTCTTTCGGCACTTCCCGTACTCTATTCTCCAAACGTCATGTTCCGGCGGTAAGGAAAAGCAGGGCTTCCAATCATGTCGTAGTACCAGAGATACCTGTGTCTCGCAGATGCAGCAAGATCCAGCTCCTTGGTTCTCAGGTAAGTACTCAGACAACGAGATACTTGGCAATACCTCCTGGGGATTTTCCGGCAAGTTAGCCTTCATAAAAGTTCATTGAGCCACTCTGAGGAAAAATGCATGGGGTGTAAGCAAGAGCAAACTCTTGGACTTACTGCAACCTGCAGTGGTCACCCAACCCAGATGCGGTTGGTAGTAGAGCAAGCAGAGCGGCTTCAGACAACCTTGCCAAAGTCAAGATATTTCAATCTGCGAGATTAGAGACTACAGAGCCTATCTTGTAGACTTTGGGCGAGAAATGTTCCAAACCGTCGTGATGCTTTCACCTTCACGTAGATATATCACCTACCCTAAATCCCGCATATCACATGTTGTTCATCATACAATAGCATAGATACAAGACGATTAAATCCATCTACATGCCACAATTTAGACGAACTTTAGGTAAAGAATAAGGGTAAGCACTATTTTACATCGAAATTTCACATCTTGAAGAGTATCAAACTACAACCGGCAGCAAGAAATTCATTAGATGATGTTTTTTTGACATTGAACATTGGAGGTAAGGCTGTCGGATGGCGTACAGAGCTACGTAATGTTGGGACAATTTATCGTATGAGACGCCTTTCCAAACTCTTCGAGTTGTTCTAATACGATTTCATGTCACAGAACTAGATCTTTTGGTGGGCGGTGTTTCCATGCTGCCAAAGTGAATCAGTGTGCAAAGCGATATGTTCCAACGATCTTTTGACATTGTACTAATTATGGAATAAGAAAACCCTGGTATCAAGCCTTTATTCATCATTACTTTCAACAAAATATGTCGTTCCAGGGCAGGAGATATGTCGTAGTGCCCTATTACCATTTCTCAACATGGGAAAAGGAGGCAGCCTGTTCAGCCGCCACCATAGAACAGGTGAAATACAGCCCTCATTGCATCCATGAGATCTACCCGAGTGCCACAGCGCCGAGCCAATAAATAATAAATTTCGTGATGTTGATTCGCCATTGAAAACTAAAATGCATAGGGATCTTCCTGTCCCTGTCCCATGGTTATTTATATCATTACTATCACTGTGGATTCGATCCATGTCCCGTTCCAGCACTTGAGGGTCATCAGTGTACAAAGATGATCGGTCTACCCGATATTGATCGCTTGATATCACACTTCAGCTCTGTGAGCTGGTGGTATTGTTGTCAGATTCGCCCTCTCCCTCTCGATAACCATTCTGGTTATTGGCTTGATTGCCTTCGTTTGCTTTCATCTCGCACCCCTTGACAAGTCGATGTCTCTGGAAAGGCCGTGTTAGTAAATCCCAGTGGATAATGCAAGTGCTTGACTGAGCGGAGTTTACCTTGAGTGCATCCTTCCGAGAGAAAGTCTTGCTGCAATATGTGCAGGGAAACGGTTTGATGGCGAGATGGATTCGCTTGTGCCGTTTAAGATCGTGATTTCGACTGAAAGACTGAACACATTGATCGCACTTGAATGGACGGTCCTGTGGTGTTTGCGACTGTTGTCCGTACATGATATGAGGGTGTTGCGAAAAGGTAGGAGGTTGGACCAAGCCTGGAATTATAGCCATCTGACCGCCTGGCTGATGAATGTTGCTCATAACCGGCCCGTTCAACTGTGGCAAAGATTGGTAGGGATAGGGTCTGTAAGGTTGGGGAGGAGCCATTCCCGAAGCTGGAGGAGGTGGACCAAAAGATCCGCTGACAGGAAGTAGTCCTCGCGGTCCCAGTCCAGTGGGCGGAGATTGGGTTGTGGGAGACGGGAGAGTCGAGTACGACGACAGATGGTGCTGTGTGGACGAGGGAATGCTGAAGTTGGGTGGTCTCGAGGTTGTATAAGTGTACGAGTCGAGATGTCCAGAGGCGCTTGATGGAGTGGGTGATGGGAGCGCGTTGTATGGGGGGAGATTCGGGTGTGGCTGCTGTGGTGAGTTGGAGAGGGTGTAGTTTGGTGCCGTTCTCGTGAAAGAGTAGGAGTCGATATTGCTTGCTGTCGTCGTAGGCGTTGGTAAATGAGGCTGTGAGGATGGGAGTGGGGGAGCAGTTCGCCCTTGGGGGCGGACAGGCTCAGGACCTTGGCTGGACGCCGTCTGGTATGAGTCCATTTCTGAGGACAATGGTCGCTCTGGTAGATACGAAGAGGAGGACGAGGATGGCCAAGAGGGTAGTATCTGATCCGATGGCCGCTTGATGGTGGGATCAGGAAGCGCAGAGCTGGTCAGAGGTGGATTTGCTGCCAACATGACACCCAAGGAATACCGATCTCTCCAAAGGAAAACAAAAGACTGCGTAGACTTGTGCTTTGGCGGTAGTAGGCAAAGCTGTGCGTTTTGTGTTCAATGGTGTTTGTTGCGGCAATCCTCGATTTTGGTTCTGGCTGCCACCAAGGAAAATACGAAATGCTGTCTAGGAAGTCCAAGCCTGAGATGAGTGATCTGTAGGGCTGGGTGGGCAAGTGAATAAATAGTGTCTCCGCAATGTCGATACAGGCAAACAATATATCAGAGTTGATGCAGATGCAGAGTCAAGCAATTGTGGGCTGTGATGGTGGGTATCCTGGAGTAAAGTCCTGCTGAGTGGCCAGGGGGATGAAATTGGTGGATGGAAAGTCGCTTGTGAGGGAAAAGTAACAGGCAGGGACCAGTTGCAAACTTCGAGAACGCCGCCCAGTTATATGTATGTATGCTGCGGATAAGGCCGTCTGCCGGTTAGTCGAGTAAAGGACGAAGCACGCGCCAGGCCTGAAATTTGGAAAACAGTATAAAGTTCAAGTAACCAAGAGTATGATGGATCTAGGCGAGAGTAATGGTGGCTAGTGGCTTCTAGAGGAGGCTCTCTGAGGCAGTGAGACGGGAAAGGAGAAGTAAAAAGGACCCAGACGCCGGGATAGAATACAACAAGAATGAATGAACCAAGGAGAATATGGAGAGTAGCTGAGAAGTAGGCAGGTAACAAGGAGATCGAGAGCGGACGAGATTCAGATGATTAAGGTTTACCCAGGTGGCGTCGGTCTGGCGTCTCCGACCCTTGAGAAATGTGGGCTGCGAGTAGTACGTATATGTATATGTCTAGGCAGAGGAAGGTACAGGCAGTAACAACGAGAGGGCTAGCTGGACGGAGTTGGTGGCATCGGCAGCCCATTGCGTTCTCTGGCGTTGACGAGGACCGTACCTACATTACATGGGCATCCAATCACCCACGGCTGCTGGGGTCCTGGGTCCATGGCTTTGGGGGTGGGGAGCGAGCAGGGCCAGGGCCTGGACCGCAGATAGGCTTGGCAGCATTTTGAGTTTAGCGCGAGCAATACTCTAGCCTGGCAAGACCTGCTGTGGAGTGTCGCTACTCCCAGGAGCGGCCAGCCTGACGGAGGAGGGTGAGCGTGAGGGAGGAGCGAGGTGGGCGTGCGAGCCGTACCTGCCATGCCTCGCTGCCCCCGATGCCCCAACCCGGCCTCGAGCTGAGCAGGCGCGGCAGGTACCGAGTACTCGTGGCTGCCCCCAGCCGCAGTGGCCAGCGCCGGTCAGGTCTTGCTGCTAATTGTCGAGGCGCCTGCGCGACGGGACTATGCGCCCAGCCTGTTGCGGCTGTCCTCGCTCGACCTCAGTCAGTCGGGGACCTGGGACGTACGTCTCCATCTCCCTCCTAGGCTAGGCCCACCTACCATGTACCACGCCCTGGTCCTTATGGAGGGCGGGATCTCAGGAAACCTGGCCGGAGTGGGCCTCGTGCGTGGATGTATCTGGTGGCTATTGCAGCAACCGACATATTATCGGATGGATCAGAGCAGGGGCATATCTCAGCCTTCTCGACTAGAGCCACTGCCTGGCGTGTCACGAAGGACCCGCCCCCCCC